TTCTTTAAAATTTACAGATGAAAAGTACATGAAACGCTCTTTAATAAGGGGTAGATAATCTTGACTCTTTCGCCATGGTAACCATGCTCTTCTTTTAATGACCTTTCTCTCATCTCCAGAGGACGGATATGTATTTACGATAAGCTGACCAAATTTATATGCATTTAATATTCATGAAAATGCCAAAATATAGACGAAATTGTATGAAAAAACCGTGAACAACAATTTTCTAAAAATGTATATTGTTCAATTTATTATTCAAATCCAAAGCTTATTTGTGAGCAAATTTCTGTGAGCAAAAGACATCGTCTCACATTGTTGAAATATTTACAAAATATATTGTAGACAGTAGACACATATTTTTGAGAAAAGAAATATTCAAAAAACAAAGTTTACGTATTTTTTAAATAATAGCGGAAACATGTCTGAAAACCTAGAAATATGTAACAATATGTAAAAAAAACATTTTGAAATTTTTGTAACCTATAAAATACACCACCGTCGGTCGTCATCAAATGAACAATTCGAAAATAAATACATATCCGCCCTCTGCATCTCTTCCCTCTTTCACTAATCGCGTCTCTTTCCTTCCTTCCTTCTTCTCATCATCTTTATCTTCATCATCATAATCATCCTTTAGCACATCCGCCAACCATCCATATCTCGCACAAACAGCTCTGCATGGACAAAGTCAGTGGCCGCGGGAGCTGTCGGGACATCTGGGGGCATTAACATTGTAGAATAGGGGGAAAGGGTTTATGTTCAAAAATTTGGGTTTCATTCAAAATTCATTACGATTTCTGACTGAAAATTTTCATACATATTCAGTCATTTTCGCTCAAATTCATTTCATTTCACTCCATCTGACTGCATTTCTTATTCCACCCCATGTATCAAGCTTAGAATGAAAAATGAAAGGAGTGAAAAATCCCCTCATTCATGTGAAATGAATGTGAAATGAATCATTCAGTCATGTTCATTTAAATGAAAAGAATTTCATGTTCATTCACTATCACAATCAGTCAAATGAATGAAGGTGAACAGGTATGCCTATAACATGGGCATATGATGGAGACATCGAACAATCGTGGGGACATCGTCCCCCTTTTTCCGCGGCCACTGCAACACAAAGTAACCCACTCGCCCACCCACCCAGCAAGGCAAGAACAAACATATTATCGCTTCTTCTTTTGTTCTGTTTCGCCTTTTCTCTTTGAATTAATGCAACAGCATGAAATATTTACTTAATGAATAGAATCATATTTTGACACGGGATACACATCCGAAAATGAGCACGTCGAATAATAATGCCAGGCAGCCAGAAGATCACATAATCCCGTTTTTTGTTTGTAGATATCTCTCTGTGTCTGCCGACGGCTGGAAGTGGGGGCATTATTAAAATGATGTGTAGTATGAAATTAAGCAGGGAGATGCAGGGTTCGGGGAAAATTTGCGGGGTAATTTTTCAAGGAATGTGAAAATTTATGTGATAAGGTTTTATTGGATTTTAAAATTGATGTGGTAAATTTTCAGAGAATTTTAAAATTGATGTGGTAAATTTGCAAGTAATTTGAAAATTGATGTGATAAGGTATTATAGAATTTTGAAAATTGATATGATAAGGTTTTATAGAATTTTGAAAATTGATGTGGTAAATTTTTAGAGAACTTTAAAATTGATGTGGTAAATTTGCAAGTAATTTGAAAATTGATGTGATAAGGTATTATAGAATTTTGAAAATTGATATGATAAGGTTTTATAGAATTTTGAAAATTGATGTGGTAAATTTTTAGAGAACTTTAAAATTGATGTGGTAAATTTGCAAGTAATTTGAAAATTGATGTGATAAGGTATTATAGAATTTTGAAAATTGATATGATAAGGTTTTATAGAATTTTGAAAATTGATGTGGTAAATTTTTAGAGAACTTTAAAATTGATGTGGGAAATTGACAAGTAATTTGAAAATTGATGTGATAAGGTATTATAGAATTTTGAAAATTGATATGATAAGGTTTTATAGAATTTTGAAAATTGATGTGGTAAATTTTTAGAGAACTTTAAAATTGATGTGGGAAATTGACAAGTAATTTGAAAATTGATGTGATAAGGTATTATAGAATTTTGAAAATTGATGTGGTAAATTTTCAGAGAACTTTAAAATTTATGTGGGAAATTTTCAGGAAATTTGAAAATTTATGTATGTGGTAGGTTTCCAAGTAATTTGAAAATTTATGAGATAAGTTTTCGCGGAATTTGGAAATTAATGTGATAAATTTTCACGGAAATTTCAACAAATATTTGTCTATGCACGTTGTTGTAATTAACATGAGAAGAATAGGATCACATACAAGGTTTAAATATTGACAGAAAATACAAAAAAACATGGTTAAATATTAAATTCCTTAAAAACATGGGGTTGCACGAAAAAAATATGGACGGTGAGAACACGAGGAAAAATTAAAATTCTTAAAAAACAAGAATTTATCTTTTGGTTTAGGGTTGGTTAGAAATTTGATAAATATTAAGTTTCCAATGAAAAAAACGCATTTTTAGGAACACATATGAAATAGGCAATCATTAACTTGACTTATACTCGATGTTTCCGGAATCAAAAATATTTAAATTATTTAAACAATTGTTATCAAATTTGAAATTTCTTAAAAGTCAATTTAAATTTTAAAAAATCAACTCAAAAAAGAACGGGCAACAAAAACCATGGTGTTTATCGAATCTGCGTATACTCTGAACTATTGTAAAAATGCAAAAAATATCAAAAACGACGTTTAACTTAACCATGAAAAAATATGCTTTTTTTGATTAATTTAATTTAATTTAATTTAATTTAAATAAATAAATGAAATAATCCGTAATCCAAAATTAAAAGCTCTATTTACAATTTTGAGAAATCGCACGCTATATGTAAATATTAATAATTTTCGAACAAAGAAAATTTTCGCAACCCTACTTTCACTCGGTTTTATTCTCTTGGCTAAAGTGAAAATACACGGGAAAACAAAAGACCGAGGAGAGAATGGATGTAGCGTAGCGAGTATGAAATATCCGTATTATTCGCCAATTCCGGGATGATGGGCTGTGCATAAAAGATGTCGCATTTTCCTAAAGTTTACAACACTCCAGACAAAAAAGTTATGTATGACCCGGGAAAAATCGCCCATGCCCATACTCAAAATAAGTTGGTAATAAAATAATCACCGCATAAGTACAAGGCTCTATCACGTTGGTAAAGAGAGGTAACAATAATTTCCTGGAAATTTAAAAATGTAGCGACCTTTCACTTCATAAATTTCTAACGGGAAGGCGTCAAATTTTGTAGTTTCGCGGAAATTTTTTGATTCCATTCGGTGACAAATCTTCACCAATATACTTTATCCAATGTCAAATAGTGACCACACGTGGTTACGATTTTATTACCAACATATTTTTTGTGCAGGTACATATATGCGTGGGAACTGGAATTCCACAAAAATAAAAGCCTCGGATTTCTGCATAGAAAAAACTTATGTCGTAAAACCTTATTTATGAAATTTCTTATAACGTGAGATACGACATGTGTTAGAAATCAAAATTTGGGGCAAATATGGAACACCATAAATACCACGTGCAAAAGTACAATTTTTTTTGCAAAATTAACCTTTGACATTTTTCAAAATTTCTGAAAAATTTCTCCCATCCTTTGTGCACTTCCCCAGGAGTAAAATTACACTCACATCGTCACCTGTGTATTGATTGCTTTGTTTATTTCATTACGTACTTTTCTTTCTTTCTTCTCTATTCTAATGCCACCCCAGTAGTTTCACTCCACTTGCGGCTGGTGAAAGTAGGTGAATATGATTTCATTTCACTCACTCTTCTCGTTTTTAATTAGTTAATTAATTATTACCTGGAGGTAATTTGAAATAACGAAGAAAATTATGAAGGACAGGAATAATTTATTAATAATTTGAAATGAAGTTTATTAACTGAAAATTTGTTTGCTGCCCAGGATCTGATTTTTTGGAAATATTTTTTGGGAGGTAATTTATGACGGAAATGATGAAATGGAATCGGATGGAATTAAGTGCAATAGAATCTGTGGTACAAGACGTCGTATAAATTATTCGAAAAAAATTGTCACCGGTTTCAAATATTGGCAATACTTCATTTTTTTAGAAATTAAAAAAAAAATGTTTTCTATTTATTTTCGAGGTCAACAAGCTTAACGAAAAAAAATTGTACTTTATTTCTTATGATTTACCAGGTTAGAGAATAAGATTGAGGCAATTCAAGCAGTTCTTGGAAACATTGTAAATTTTGTAAATTTACAATTTTCTGCAAAATTGTATAAATATTTTTGAATATAATTAGGTTACAAGTTTTTGTAAACTAGCTCAGATGAAGGGCGCCTTTTCATTTTGTAAAAATTTGTAAAATTATTTACAAAATTTACGAGTTTGCAATAACTGTGTGACGTGTTTACAACAAACCTATCTTAATTATTGTTCAATAGTTCAAAAATACTAAGATACTTTAAACGGCGTACTGCAGTCGCAAAATATTAAGTAAAATATAATATTGGATTGCAAATTCCTACTTTTACGCATTGTAAAACCTGTACAATCCCTAAACTTACAAAGTCGGCAATTAGCCACTATTATGTTCTACCGCCACTGGCCTGGCTATCTCTTTTAATTAGTAGTCTGGTTACCCCACAATGTACAAAGTTACAAACTTTTACAAAATTTTTTGATGGAAAATGTATCTAAATCTTACGAATTTTGCAAAGTTACCAAGGACTGTGTCTCTTAAGTACTTCAAAATTTGTAAAATCCGTAAACTTGCTAAAAGTACGAAGCTTTACAAAATTTTATAAATAGTAGCTCAAAACTTACGAATTTTACAAAGTTACCATAGAATGTGCGAATTGCCACAATATTAATTCCTGGTTGTATTTAACTTCTCAATTTCTAAAAATTGTGGTATTTTATTATTTTTGCTTACCAGATTATGTCCGAGATTCACATTTTTTCAGACATATTTTCTGTTTGGGTTTTTCGTGAAAAAAAGATTTTTCATTCCATCCGACTTTCACTTTGTCTTAATTTCCCCGCACTACTTTATTGTTGACATGACAATATATATATGGGAATGAAAAAAATGTCCAGTTATTTATATCCCTGCACCAACCAACTTGCTCGTCTTTCTTTCAGTGTCAAATTGAAAACAACAACTTTCTCCACTTTTGGAAATCCAGTCCATTCCGACACGTTCAAAATTTTTCAGAAAAGAAACATTCTATTTTACTTGTGGAACTTTTACTTTTCCGTTTTTACACTTTTCCTTAGATTTATAAAATAATGTCGGTTTACTTTAACCAGGCAGTAACTTTTCGAAAATCCTTCCAAATCCGACACTTTTCAAAGTTTTTCAAATTTGAAACTTGTATTTCATTATTTCTCTTTGAATTTTCACAAATCTAAGAATTTCAAATTTTCTCCTCATTTAGACAAAATTAACCTTGAGTTCATTTATACTTTCACCAATGACACATTTTCTATTAAAAATCCAACACTTTTCAAATTTCTGACAAAAATCTGAAATATTACACACAGTTCTTTTTCAGTTGTCCTTTAACTTTCACTTTCATCCACGTTGTTACACCCACACAAATCTCAACTTATTTACATATTCAGACAAAAGCCTTGAGTTTATTTGTACATACTTTCGCCACCCAGTTCCACACTTCAAATTTCTGTCAAATTTCAATTTCTTCCCAACTTTCACCCAGTTTTTCGGTCACTTTCCTTTCATGAATTGTTACACCCACACAAATCTCAGAAACTTATTTACACTTTCACCACCAACTTTCTCTCCTTACAAAACAAAACCTCAATAATTTACACAGTTTACATAACTCAGTTTACATAAGTCCGAACTTATCCGTCTGTCTGTCTGCCTCAGTCACTCCAAAATTTCTGAAATATTTCAATTTCCTGTCAACTTTCACTTTAAGTTTTTAAATTTCCTCAATGTCACACCCACACACAAATCTCAGAAACTTATTTATTTACACTTTCACCACCAACCAACTTTCTCTCGTAACAAAACAAAACCTTAATACATAATTTGCACAGTTTACACAAGTCCTCGTTCCAACTTATCTGCTCAATCCGGGAAGAAGCAGTTGTCCCATCCCTGGTGAACTTCCAACTGACACGAATCTCTTCGAGGGAGCAAGGATATAGTGAAAGTACGGACGAACAAGGAGGCAAAATGCAGACCAACCGCAATAAGTAAAACATCGGGCACGGCTGGTCTGGTCTAACTTTCGCCTCCACAAAACGAGAACGAGACTCCTCGTGGAGCTTCGTCGCGTTGGGAAGGGGAAAGCAAAGTGGGTCTCATGTTGGGAGAAACAGCAGTAGTCGTGTATTCTCAGAGAGTGAGGCAAAACAGGGTTAGAAAGGAGAGGATGGGGGAAAATTTGGAAATTTTGGTTTGTGTAAAAAAAATTTGATTTTTTTGGAAAGTGATGTTGCCAATAATCGAGTATTCTGAGAGAGAGTGGAAAGTAGGATGGTGAAAATTTGGAAATTTTATTTGGAACAAAAAAATTTTGGGGGGTAACGTTGCCAATTTTTTCGGAGAGTCACGTTGCCAATTTTTTTAAAGTAATTGTGGTATTTGTTATGCTTTTTAGAGATTTTTTAAATCCAATAAATCATGAGTATCGATTAGATAACAGATCTATTTATTCCACCTTTTTTAACGTAATTAGCTATTCTGTAAAATAAAAATTACATTATCGACGTCAAACTTGAGCCAGAAAATGGTTTTAAGTTTATAAGTAGGTTTTGAGTAGGAGAGCAAAGTGGGGTTTCGCGTGGGGAGAAACAGCAGTAGTCATATCTTTAGAGAGTAAAGGGGAGGGGGACACATAATGGTAAAACTTTTTCAAAATTTGATTTTGAATACAAAATTTGAAAAATATTGTTTCAATCAAAATTGTTACTTTTTTGGAGAGGGAGGTTGCCAATTTTTTTTAATCAGCGGTAAAAAATAATTTTAGTCTTTTATTCCTTGGTTTAAAGATTCTTTTTATGCAATAATTAAACCATGGACCTTTTGCACCTATTTCGTTTTACAAAGTTATTCAGTTAAATCGAAATCACGTTATGGACGTCGATCTAAGGAAACGTTTTTTAGTTTTTTTATTATTACAAATTTCAAGTTATTTATTAATTTGGGACATAAATCTCTGGAAAAATCTTTGTTCATTCGACTACAGTAATATATATAGTTTAGTATTTTTCGTAAATAGTGGAACAGAAATAACTCTGTTTAATTTCACTTTACGAAAAAAATACTTCACAATTTTCGCGTACAAATTTCCGATTTTTATATTTCCTTCCAAGTATGAAGTACAAGCACAAATTTTGATAGAAGAATCATATCTAATTCCAAACCAATACTTATTCAACAATTTGAAAATCAAGTTATGGACGTCAGTCTTCTTGGAAATTTCGTTTTATCATGTCATTTTACTTATTTGGTGTGTATAAACTGCGCAAATTTCGCTAATTGTACATCAAATTAAGCAGTACTTTCTACTAATGAAAGTTAAAGTGTAATTTTATTCCCTTCTCAGCAAAAATGAAATTTTTTAGTTTCAAATTTCGCACTTCAACCTTGTCACACAAGTTTTTCCAAAAATATTCCAAAAAATCTACCTAAATTTTTATAAGCTCTGACCACCAACCAAATTGTTTAAAATCTATCCAATTTTATTCAGCGTAAAAAAATATCTACTTCCCAATCATTTCCTTTAGGACAAGAAATTGAAGGAGATCTAAAAAATTTTATAAGGTTTTCCATATTTTAGAATGTTTTTGAAATGGCGTATAAATTTAATTCTAACAAGTTTTTAAATTTTATTAAATTATTCGTGTGTACAAAAATGCGAATAAAATTATTCGCATACATAACAATTTACCCCCAGAATTAGCACATTCTTAGAAAACTGGTAGGTAGTAAATCATTACTCACTAGACTGCATACTTACCTATATGACTTTACCGGCACTGGTAATAAATGACATCACCGTTTAGTAATGTTGTGGTAATAAAAAATTTACCACTCAGAAATAAACTACTGCCAATCTGGTAAGAAGTTATTATCAAATCAATACCAGCACGGAGGAGTGTATACCACATTTTTAAAATTGTTCCGGTAACAATATTTGTACTCAGGTCAGTAATGATTTATTACCAGTTTTCTAAAAATGTACGTAATAATTTTCCCACAAAATTTCCAACAATTTTTTTCATCTTCTCGAATTTTCTCCACCAGCGGAACCCTGTCCATTCCGCTGGTATGCTGTTTCTTCTCGTCTTCTTGCTCGCCTCTAATGTGAAAAAGTAGTACGACGACGAGTTGCATTGCAGTTTGGAGTCGAGGAAAGGAGGGAATTTGTTGGGAATATGGAATTAGAATGGAAAGCGAGTAGTGGAACCAGTCGACCAAACCGACCGCTTTACAAACTAGGCACACACAGAGAAAGTTTTACTCTTTACAGCCAAGTTTCCTCCGTCCACCAGATAACGGCCCAGAAGAACAAGTACACACACAAAACTCAAAGCAGGGATATGTTTACGGTGAGGGTGGGGCGTGTACGTGTCGTGTGGTAGGAAAAAGACGGAGGGAAAATTTCTGTGAAGAATTAAAAATAAAAAAAGGAAAAATTTAGATATAAAAATTTACTCTTGCCAGAAAAATTTTAAAATAGCACGTTTTCTCAATTTTTTGAATCCTTGCTACAAGCTAATTTTCTAATTTCTTGTAAGGCCAAATTTTGTAGCTAATTTGTTCGTGAAAATTAAAGAAAATAAAACAACGAGGAAAAATTTCGATTTTTTAAAAATACACTTTCACTCGAAATTTTGTACAAATTATGCGTTTTCTCAATTTTTTTAACTCCTTGTCGTAGGTTTTTTTCTATTATCTTCTTCAAATAAGTACAGATTTTGTAGCTAATTTGTTCGGGGAAATTTTTGTAAATAAAATAAAAAGCGGAAAAAATTCGATAAAATAAATCCACTTTCGCCAGAAATTTTTTAAAGGTACAGATTTTCTAAATTTTTTAAGTCTAAATTTTTTAATTTATTGTCCACTTCAAACGAGTACACATTTTGTATTCAATTTATCCGGAAAAACTTCTAGAAATAAAACAAAACACGGATAAATTGAAATTTTATTAAAAAACCTTCTTGCACCAGAAACTTTAAAAATTACGTAATTTCTCAACTTTTAACTCCTTTTTCCCATCACTTTTTCAATTTTCCTCTTTGTACAATTTTGTCCCTAATTTTTTCCCATGCATGAAATTAATTTTTTTTCTACTTTTTTATGTCACAAACTTTCTCCCCCGCTTTTCTATCTTCCTGGCTCATTCTTAACCCCAAAATTCGAACCCTAAACTACTGCACTTTCTTTCTCGGCTTTCCAGTTTACATGCATGTCTCTCGTAGGAATCTGGTCTGGCCTTGTTTTAAAGTCCTCAAATCTTGTTTAAATTTTTCTCTTTAAACAAATACAAATTTTGTAAATAATATTTGCTGGAAAAATTTCTTTAAAAAAAACGGGAAACTTAATTTTTTTTAGTCTACTTTCACCAGAAATTTTATAAGATTACATTTTTAACTGTAATTACCATCAGTTGTTATTTTATTTTCCCTGATGTATAATTTTTCTCTTGATTAAAATAAATTTCTGTAATGAATAAAAAAAAAACGGAAACTTAATTTGTTAGTCTACTTTCACTAGAAATTTTATAAGATTACATTTTTAACTCCCTACCATCAGTTTTTTTATGTATAATTTTTCTCTTGATTTAAATGATTTTTTTCACGTTTTTTATGTCACAAACTTTCTCCCTCTCTCAGCGAATACTTCCTGGCTCATTCTTAACCCCAATTTCGAACCCTAAACTACTGCACTTTCTTTCTCCGCTTTCTCCGTTTGTCTGCATGTCTATCTGTCTCTCGTAAGAGATGGAATCTGGTCTGGCCTTGTTTTCATGCCCGGATTTTGCATCTCTCTAGTCTGCCCAAATTTTACACTCGGCAACTTTCCCTTTCTTTCTTCTTCTTCTTCTTGAGCGTAAATGTAAATACAAATTTATTCCAAAAAAATATACGGAAGAAGAAAGCAATCTGTCGCATTTTATTCCCGCATGTTCTTTTCTACACGAAATTTGTTTACATATGGGTGAAAATTGGGCCAAAATGAAAATAAATGGTTCAATTTTATACAAATAGGGCAATTTTGGGCAGTAGAGATTTTAGGGAAAGTGTGGACGAAGATGTGTTTATTTTACCCTAAATTCTGTCGAATAAGCTACTTTTTTGGAGGCTTTCTCTTCTCTGGAGCTGGAGCCAATATTTTGGGGAAAGAGAAAGTTCGTACTTATCAGATGGGCATGAATGAAATTGGGAGAAATTCATTTCTTGCAAGAGCAGGGGTTTGGGGAAGATTTAAGAAATATATATATTTACCATGAACTTTTAGAAAACTGGTATTAAATCATTGATGACCGGAGTACATATATATGTGACTCTACCAGCACTGGTAATGACTAATGATGGGCATTACCGTTTATGTAATGATGTTATTTAGTAATGTTGTGTGGCAATGAAGAACTTACCACCCAACTTACCACTTTACATATGCCTGATCCTGTTGGACAGATAGATGGACGTGCAGAATCCTCAAAAACCGTATGAAATACTAAATAAACCCTCATAAACGAATATAAGAAAGTAGCGTCTGACCGATTCAAATTTCCTTTACAAAACGACAATTATACGTTTTTAACCTTTCAACTTATCCTCACAATCATAGGGTCTAAAGCATTGATGTCGTTTAATTCGTGGTGAAATTCCCTTTAAAATGATACCCGATATGAAAATTGATTTAATTTAATTTAATTTGCGACAACACGTGGGAGGTGGTTCGATTTATGCCATTATCCAAGTCGACCGAGAACTAAAAATTAGAAGCACAATGACGAAAACCGGGTTAGATTATGTTGAAGCGTTCTAGAAATATCCTGCCCACGGACGGACAAAACGGTCACAACAAGTAGCTGACGCTATTAATAAATGGTAGAATTTTGTCGTGATAAAATAAAATATACACTCAAAACAAAACGGTGTCAATATATGGCTTAACCGACTTGGTTACAATTGTGATTCCGAGTAGTAATGAATTTTTTCCGTCCGGTCATGACATTATAACTACCGGTATCATAATCATCAAAACTCGGATTCAACATTGTAACCAAGGCGGTTAAGTCATATTGACACCGGCGGTGTTGATTCGACAAATTTTTATTTTGAGTGTAGTACTACACCGTCTGGTAATAGATTACTACTGCATTCTTCAGTATAATATTTCGCAACAATAATAATTATTTGA